TGAATAACTGAACCCCAAACAGTTCACAGATCCACTGATTATGAGGTTGGACTAAATGAGCCTTTAACTTTAAGTGCTATATAAATGTGAGTTACTGTCACTATAGTTTGGCACCCCCAAGTGGGAGAGACTGTGAATTAATGCCAGAAAAAAAGATTTCTACAGGCAGGAAAACTGGCTGTAGCCAAATGAAATTTCATAGGGAAAATATAATAGCTTTTCACTTAGGTTTTTAAAAATCAACTGCAACAAGTACAAATGGGGGAGACCTGGTTCAAAGAAGTTCACGCATGTGAAAAAAGCATGAGCATTTCAAAAGACCACAAGCTCACATGAGACAAGTATGACGTGGATGCTAAAAAAAAAAAAAAAAAATCAATGCCAATGCAAATTTGCGAGGTCTCCACAATTTCTAACATTCTCTCATTTTAAATCTAGCATCCAGATCAAGAGGGGATTGTAGGAATGCACTGTCCTCTGCCTTGGGGTCCAGGCCCCATCTGGAAGATTGTGTTCAGCTCTGGGGACAACGCTTCAGGAGGGAAGTTGACCAACTGGAGAATATCCAGGAGTATCTGAAAGCTATGTGAAGGCAGAAAAGATGGCAAGGGTTATATGATCAATGTTTTCAAATAGCCAAAAAACTGTCATGGGAAAGATGGAACAGATTTTTTTCTATACATCTCGAGGAAGGCACACTAGGCCCAAGGAGTGAGGAGTGGGAGGCACACTACAAGAATTGCAGGAGAACTAAACTTAGTTCAGCCTCAGGAAGAACTTCCTAAGAATTAGTGCTGTCCCCTAATCACACAATACAATTGAAGGCCCCTGGAGAAAAAGAGCTTCCCCATCACCAAAGAGGTTTTAGAAGAAAATGAAAGAGATATTCCCACACTAGATGGGGAGTTGGGCAAGGTAATCTATATCCCTTCCAAATCTCAAATAGTATGGCCATTTGTTATTGTTAAGTTGTTTCAGTCACGTCTGACTCTTTGTGACCCCATTTGGGGTTTTCTTGGCAAAGATGCTGGAGTGGTTTGCCATTTCCTTCTTCAGCTGATTTTATAGATGAGGAAACTGAGGCAAACAGAGTTAACTGACTTGCCCAGGATCACCCAGCTAGTAAGTGTCCGAGTCAGAATTTGAATCCAGGTCCTTCTGACTCCAGGCCCTGCACCCTACCCATTGCACCACTGAACTGTTTGATCATATGTGTGATTTAAAAAACCTTTCTTTCCAAGAATTACAATTCTAAATGCTATGGCATTTAGACTAACGATATTAGAGGCTCCATGATAACTTCTAAGTTTTGCTTTCCTACATTGGTAGCAGGATTGACAGTTTTTAAAAAGAAAAGCCAGTAGATGATATAATGGAAATCACGTTGACCATAGAGTTATAACACCTGGTTTTGAATCTCAACTCTGCTACTCATTACCTATGTGACCTTAGCCAAGTTATTTCCCTCTGAAGCATCATTTGTAAATTGAGGGTATAGCTTCAGGGGTTTTTCAAGATCTCTACCAACTACAACCCTATCACTTTTTTCTGACTACTAACAGTTCCCTTAACTTCCCTTACCCCCTGGAAAACAGCAGCCTAAAGAAAAGTTCCAGCTTTGGTGATGCAGAGGCCACAATTCACCTTAAAAAAAAAAAAAAAAACATTTCTGAAGCATCTACTTGGGCTGAATAATATGTTACTGCTAAAGAAGACACAAGACATAGATAACTATAATACACAATAACGCTTAAGTGCATTAGCAAGGTATAAAACAAAGTGCTGTGTGAGGTCCAAGGGAAAAAAAATTGGGACTAGGTCAGGAAAAACTCGTGGAGGAGGCAGCAGTTGGATTGGGTTTTAAAGAACAGGATTCAAAAGGTAAAGAGAAGGAAGTTGGGGTATGAACAAAGGTTCAAAGACACAGGAAATGTTTGGGGAACAGAGGAGAATCATTTGGTTTGGGTGTCCTCTGTGTACATGAAGGGAAGGAACATGAGGTACCACTGGAAGGGGAGAATAGCACCAGAATGTAACTTCACCAATCAGCAGAACAATCTGAACTCTACTCAGGAGGCAAGGGAGAACCACTAAATATTTTGGAGCAAAGAAAAGACACGGAGACATCTCAGCTATACCCTATCACTGATGTTCAGATTACTATCCATAAAATCAATTTTTCAGGGAAGTTAATGAACACGACACGGCAGGTAGGCAATCCAGTATGGGGCTGAGTCAGTAGGCTGTTACCTTTTTAATGGTCAAAAGAGGGAAAAGGACATCTTGTTTGCCTAATGTCCATTCACCACCCAGGAAGGAGACACTGGGCCTAGGTAATTTTCATGCCCTCCCTTTATCCTACAAATCATCTGGTTGTAGTGACAGCTTGGGGAGCAAGTGTACCACAGATGAGGTGGGCAAATCCCCCTAAATTGGTGGTTGCTCCTCCTCCATCTAACTAACCAGCCAACCAGAAGTTAGCAAGCACTTCCTATATGGCAGGCACTGTGCTAGGCACTGGGGACAGAAGCACAACAAATGAAAAAATCCCTACTTACAAAAACCTTAATTCAAATGGGGGAAACAAGTACACCCACGTACACACACACACACACAAACACATACACACACGCGCGCACACATGTATATGTATACGTATCTATGTATGTGTATATATATTTGTATATGTATGTGCCTATATATGTGTCTCTATATATATTATGTATAATATATATATAGCATAAATATAAAGGGAATACATATGAATATATACAAAGAGGCAGCTAGGTGGCACCACAGTGCACAGAGTTCAGCTTCAGACACTAGCTTTGTGACTCTGGACAAGTCATTTAACCTCTGTTTCCCTCACTTTCCTCAATTGTAAAATAGGGATAATAACAGCACCTACTTTGCAGGGTTGTTGTGAGGATAAAATGAGAAAATATTTGTGAAATGCTTCGAGGCTATGTAAGTGCTAGCTGTACTATTATAATTAATAATTAGTTACCTACAAGGTAGTTTGAGAGGGAGGGTACTAGCTCTTCAGAAACTCTTGTGGACAAAGGGAGATTAGTAGTTGTTCAGTGGATAGGCTTTCTTCCTATTCTTTGTCATTTCCTCTATGACCTTTCCAGCTTCCTGTCTCCAGGAACATTCCCCCTTCCTCCTCACAAATCCCTTCCTTACTCCTCACCCAGTCCTTGCGCCATAAACCAGGCTTGGTACCTAGCAAGTGCTTCATAAATGCTTTTTCCTTCATTTGTTTTTCATTAATTCTTCCCTAAACATGATCAAAAGACTTGAAGAGAAAGAGATCTTTTCAATCAATCAATTAACAAGAATTTATTAAGGGCCTACTGTGCACCCAGGCACTGGGGATACAAAGACCAAGATGAAACAGCCCCTGCCCCCAAGGAGCTACCATTCTTTCAGGGGAGATAACATATATGTGCCTAAGTACATATAAAATAAATACAAGGCAATTTACTAGCAGCTGGGGGCTGGAAAAGCCTCCTGGAGGAAGTGGCTCTCCAGCTGAGGTCTGCAGAAGCCGGGGAGTCTGAGAGGCTGGATAGCATGGGGAAAACATTCCAGGCCTAGGCAGCTTAAGAAGGAAAGTAACAATGATAGCACTTATAAAGCATTTTGAAGTACATTTTCTCCTGTGATCTTCACACTAACTCTTCAGGCATTCTCATCCCATTTTACAGATTAGGAAGCCGAGGGGCCATGCTTTTCGTGGCTTAGATCCAGGCTCTAGGTTCAAGGCTCTTCCCCATCTCCCTAGAGCTGAGGTGGGTAAGAGAGTAGGAAGTATGACATCAGCTCAACACAACACAACACAATGATTTAGCTCAACTCACCAAGTATTTATTAAGCTCCTATGGTGTACAGAAAACTGGAGTGGCCACAAACAGGGTTTAGAAAAGGCCTGGTTATCTGGGCTCATATCTCACAACTCTAGCAGGAAGGCAACTAAAGGATGTATTTTTGTCATCCAGACTGTGATTTCACTAGGGTAGGACCTCTAGTTGAGGAAACTCCCTCAAAAGATGCAAATCAACACCTGCTCTGAAACTTACCATCAGTACAGACTTGCCTGGGGCACTGAAAGTTTTCTTGGCTTGCCCAGAAGAGCCAATATTTGTCAGAGGCTGAGCATGAACTCAGGTCTTTCTGACTTCAAGGCCACAGCAATATCCACTGTGCAACACTGACTCTCCAAGACACATACACAGGCAACTAAACTACATGGACTGAGGCAGCAAGTCCATCAGAGGTGCAAAACAAGGTGCTTTGTGGGGAAGAAAGGGCATTCTGACTTGACAAGGGAAAGGGGAGTCAGGGAAGGATTTTGTGTTGACTTCAACAGCTCTGCCCAGTTCAACAGGAACTCATATTCAAAAAGGGGGAGGGAAGATATCCAATGAACAAGGAATCAAAATGTGATCAAAGGCCCAGAGGCGAGAAAGCCTGAAATGTTGAAGGAAAAAGAATAGTATGTTTTGGTGACAGCTGGAGTGAGATTAGGGTGCAAAGACAGGGCAGTGCCAGCTTTGTAGACCCTTGAGCACCAGGCCAAGAGGCTCTAATATTACTTGGGAGGCAACAGGGAGTTGCTACAAATTTTAAAGCAAGAATGACAGGACCAGATCTGAACATGCTAAAAAAACCAAACAAACCCCTAAATGAATGTATCTTTGATATTATTCATGTAAGGCCTCCTTCCATCAGTGCAGATCACAAGCCATTCATGCCTTCTCTCCCTGGAGGATTCATTTCCACGTTCTTCTATAGTTCCTCCCAAGAAGATCCACCCAATGTGCCAGAGGTCACACACCACAAGGTCTTCTGGGACCCTGTGCATTTTGTAGCTACCACTGAAACTCTCTGGTTGACCATCTACAAAAGTAGTGCCTCCTACTTCCTACCTTAAAGTTTGTGAGTATTGCAAATTGATTTTTATATGAGAGCAGAAAAAAAAAAATTAAAACACTCACCTGTTTACTATCTTTAAGGATTCTCAGCACCAAGGCAGAAAGTTGTACTTGACCAAAGGAAGCTGGATCTTCCTAAAAGAAAAAAGAATTTGTAGCTAAGGTTTTTGCCATACATGTTAAGCAGGACCATGACCCAGAAATTCCACAAACATACACACATACTGGTGCTCTAGCACATTAAAAGACATGCACTATTTTCTAAGCAATGAGAAAAAGAGAAAAATTAATGACACCCACAGAGCTTCAAAGTGTAGGTGTGTCTTGTTTCAGGAAACTCCAGTTGCAAAAATAATTTATCAAGAAAACTGAATGGGGTGAATTTTTTTGCTTTACAGAAGTAAACCTTTTAATTAGGCAAATGAAACAACACTAACAAAATTCAGTGGCCCACAACAAAGCTGCTGCTGTCTGTGAGAGAACAGGATCTAAAGGATGAAAACTTTTGGTTTAGATATATTGAATATGAGGAGACACTTCAACAGGGCTTTTTGGTTACCAAGTGGTCTACATACATGATTTCATCTGATCACCAAAAGTCTTTTAGAGACAGGCAATGCAAGTAATATATCCCCATTTTATATAATAAGGAATGGAAGCTCAACAAAATTAAGAAACAATATAAACTCACATTCCTCTAGTTTTGTAAATCCTCTAGATATGTAAATCAAGTGCTGTCTTCATAATAACCCTGTGAGGAAGGTGGGGAAAGAATCTTCATGCCCATTTCACAGAAAATGGAAACTGACATTAATAAAGGTTTAAGTGACTTGCCCACAGTCAACTAGGTATTAACAAAGCCTATTTACGAACCTAGGTTTTCCAGGTCCGAGGCTGGTGTTCTGTGCCATACTGCCATGCCAAGACTGGTGTATTTCCCACTGTCCCATACTGCCTTGCCAAGGCCAATCCCCTGTCCCTTGGGACAGACAAATGGCAATAGGCAGTAGGCAACTAGGGATGTTCAAGTGGACCTCAGGAAAGGCATCTGGACTGGGATATGGAAGTGGAAACTAACTTCTCACTATAGATTAATCAACCAACAGGGATTTATGAGCCAGACAATGTGTAAGGCTTTAAGGATATGAAGAATGAGAGAATACGTATGTTCTAACAGCAGACAAAGCAGTCTACCAAGAGAAATGCCTCAAGAGGCAGGCAGCAAATTCTCCATCACTGGAGGTGCTCAACAACCTGCTGAGGAAATTGTAATGGGGCTTCCTGATTAAGGTTTAGATGAGTTGACTTCTACAGCCCCATCCTACTCTTACAATTCTGTGAGCCTCCATCAGAAGTTTTCAAGCTGTTCAATCAGTGACACAATGGAATAGGTGTTGACAGGCAGTGCTTACTTGGGCCTGCAGATGGCTCCCTTGACATAGGAAAACATTACCTGGCCATATACAAAGTCTTTCCTCTGAAAAAATAATGTGATATATTTTAACATTAGCTATGCAAAGACAGAAAAATATTCTCGGTGATTAGTCACTGGTGGCATTGAGGGTGACTCTTGTTCCCTGCTTTGGCTTCCCCCACCAAAGCAGGGACATGAACACTGGGTAACTGGTCACGAGCACACTGAAGGCTTTTTCAGGGATGGTAGCCCACAGCAGGGATGTCAGACCAAGGGGCTGCTGAAGCAGAAGCCAAAAATAGTCAGGACGAATTGGCAGCAGCCACCTCTGGAGGGTAAACAATTTTTAAGATGCTTTCTCTCACTCTTCTTTGTAAACCCTCAATGCTTTTTCTGATGGTCCTGATGGTATCTGCTAAAAATATAATTTGACCCTAGGGAAAAGGTCCCCAGTGGTCAGAGGTGGTGACATCCATACCTCTTAGAGTTTTATAAGAAATTCCCAAACCTATGTCACATCATAGATGGATATATGATACAATATATGTGGTTACTAGTCAGCCCACCCATCTTCCTGCCAATGTTGAAAATACCAGAGCAGTTCTAGAGACTCCAGACCAGGGCTTCTTAAACTTTTTCCACTCTTGACCTCTTCAGCGCTTCTTAAACTGTGGGTCTCAACCCCATATCCTCACAGTTTATGAAGCACTGCTCTAGACCATGATAAAATGCCAAGTGTGTCTGTAACACTGGGATTGTGAGATTACTTATAGGGCCTGTATTTTGTTTTGGGGTTTTTTTTTTTGAGGGGCAATGATACCACAAGAAAAAAGCCTATCCAAAGTCAGAATGTCAGCATGAGGCTATCCCATTAGATACTTCAAGGCAAGCTTTGCTCCTTTGTTCAACAGTCTTGAAGGAAGTGCCTATCTACCAACTTGACAGAGGTGCTCTAAGAAATGAGCTTCTTATACTCTCTAGCACTATAGAAAGTTGAACATTTTTCTTTCTGGAAAAGGGAGTACCCACAGGTAGCACGCTGAACACTCATTGGCTATGTGATCAGGAGTAAGTCACCTCCCCTCTTAGTTTCCTCTTCTCCATAAAGGGGACAATAATATTTATTTGGCCTATCTCACAGGACTGTAATGATGGCACTCAGGAAATCTCAAAACACTATATAAATGCGAATTATTATTAATATGGAATTAAATGGGAATTGTTAGCAACAAAAGTTCCACAAAGCCATTGGTGAACCAGGGGGAAAAAAAAACTTTTTATTTACGGCCTAACAAGGCCGGGTGTCCCATGTGTAAACACACCTTACAGAAGGCAGAGCAAAACTTTTTATTCCTAGGCTTGAATTGCAGCTCCCTCCCAGAGCACCTAATTTCCCCACATGAGTCTCTGACCCTAATTACATCTCCCACTCCCCATTTCCTTGTTGACAGCCTACAGCTGTTAATACCCCAGCAGCTACTCATCAAGGGGTTTTGAGGACTTATCCACACCCTGATGAGTGATATGCAGAAGCAACATCCCCAACCACATTTTCTACAGGAATTTTTCACAGGACATAGATAAAAATTGCATAGAAGGGTTGCTATTTGTAGCAGGGCCCCAAGTCAATGGGATTTTAGAGCCATCCAAGTAATCAAAATACCATTTCTAAGTACTCAAGTTTGATGGTTTGGGGTTGTTTTTTTCCCAGCACATTCCACATGGATGTCAAAGGCACCTGTCTCAGTCATCTTTGACTATCACTTTTCTACTTCCTGGCCACATCGAATCCATTCTACTCCTCTTTCAAAATGTCTCTCACTCTTCATTCATACGACATAACCTGTACTTCCAACAATCAATGGGGAGACTAAAAGGGAGAAGGAGAGAGAGACAGCACTCCAGGAATTGAGGACAGCCACTACAAAAGTAGAGAGCCGGGAGATGGAGCATAGTGTGTGAGAAACAGCAAAGAAGATCTCATGGCTGGACTGGAGAGGGCGGATGGGAAGGGAGGTAAAGTAGAAGAAGACTAGAAACACAGAAAGGGCCCAGGTGGTAACGAGCTTTAAATATCAAACAGAAGAATTGCTATTTATTCCTAGAAGCAATAGGGGGCTACTGGAGTTTACTGAGTAAAAGGAAGCTGAGCTTTAGGAAAAGTACTTTGACAGCATGTGGAAAACTGACTGGCCTGGGGGAAGACTTTTAAAAATGTGTAACAAGAATTTATGAAGTACCTACTATGTGCCAGGTACAATGTTAAGCACTTTATAAATATTATCTCATTTTATCCTCACAACTTTGTAAGTAGGGTAGGTGCTACTATTATCTCCAATTTTATAGATGAGGAAACTGAGGCAGGTAGAAGTTAAATGACTTGCCCAGGGTCACACAGCTAATAAGTGAGACCAGATTTGAACTCAGGTCTTCCTGACTCCAACTGGAAAGTGCAGGCAAGAGGTGATAAGGACCTGCTAGGGTAGCAGCTTTGTGTGTGGGGAAAGACAGAAACAGATCCAAGAGATCTTGTGGAAAAATAAATGACAAGATTTAGCAAGTGATGAAATACTTGGGATGATGGGAATGAGAAGTGAAGGGTGGACCTGAGGTTATGAGCCTGGGTGACAGAAAGGACAGGGGTACCTTCAACACTAAAAGAGAACTTTACAAGAGGGGTAGAGGGGTAGATTTGGAGGGAAAGCTCTGTTTTGGATGTTGTATTTGAAATGTCTCTAGGACATCCAATTCAAAATGCCCAATAGGCACTTGGTGACAAAGGGATGAAGCTCGAAAGAGAAACTATTCAACCCCCAATCAATAAACCATCAGTAAGTGCCTACTGTGTGCCAGGCCCTGTGCTAAGTGCTGGCAATATAAAAAGAAGCAAAGACAGTCCCTGCCTTCAAGGAGCTCACAATCAAATGGCAAAGACAACAAGCAAATAAATATATACAAACAAGTTATATACAAAATACATAGAAAATAATTCAAAGAGGAATGGAGCTACAGTTAAGGGGAGTTGGGAAAGGCTTTCTGTAGATGAGATTTTTATTGGGATTTAAAGAAAGTCAGGGAAGCCAGTAGGCAGAGATGGCAAAGGAGGGCATTCCAAGCATGGAGGACAGCCAGAGAAAATGCCTGGACCCAAGAAATAGAGCGTCTTGTTCATGGAACAACAAGGAAGCCAGTGTCATTGGATTAAAGAGTAAGAAGATTAGAAACATAGGAGGGGGTTAGGTTTTAAAGGGCTTAAAATGCCAAGGAGAGCTTTTGTATTTAATCCTGGAGGTAATAGGGAGCCACTGGAGTTCTTTTTGATAAGGAACTGACATGGGAAAATACTGAGGCAGACAGAGGTTAAGTGATTTGCCCAGGGTCACATGGCCAGTAACTGTCTAAGGCAGGGTTGAAACTCAGGTCTTTCTGGGGTTCAGAGCTCTATCCATTGTGCTAAATATTTATATTTACAGTTTCACCTCATAACAATAATAGGCTGCATCTTACTGGGGTGTATATTCGAGACATAACAGAAAACCTCCCAAAATCTGTCAAATCTGATGGCTATTATTTGCTGATGATTCATTTGAGCAAAAAAGATACTAGCTATGAGAACCCTGAATATGACACTTCTCATGTCCCAGCTCTGAGCATTTTCAACAGCTATACCTCATGCTGGAACTCTCTCCCTTCTCATTTATGCCTCTTGGCTCAGCTGAAG